TTGTGGGCACATATTTCTCAACCACATTACAAGTCTGTGTGATTTATTATTTTTACCCCGAGAGACATCTGTAACATCATTCCTTATTTTTGTAATGCATCATCAGCCAGAGGAAAAACAATATTATCCAGTCTAGGATATTGTACTCTGGAGTCTAATAATCTAATGTACACTAGAGCTGGTGTCATTAAAGTGCCAGTGGAGCTGTAGGAAGATGGTAGGTACACATCTGTCTGTCGCTGAATGCTTGTGCTACATCCCACCACCTGCCCTGGAGCAAATACACACATACCAGAGCAAAACACAAACTCACACACAGTCCCATAGCAAGCTCTGTTGCTGTTGGAGCAGTCTAGCCAGCAGGAGGCAAAAAATAAAAAATGAGCAGACAAGGGATACAGAGGCTAAACAGTGACCTCTCTCTCCTAGTCCTTGGAGCTTTACAGCTCTTTAAGCACCAGACTTGCCTCAGTGAGCTGGCCCAGCAGGACAGCACTGCACAGGCTCTACAAAAGGACAGGAATTGTCCCAGGTCACAGGTCACTTCATCTCTAAAAGTTTCCTGGAAGTGAGAGTATGCAAGTATGCTTTTGTTTTCAAAGTATTAGAGTGCGGAGTGGAGCCAGTGATGCGCCTGAATGCCCAGGTGGTGTTTCTGCAAGGTGAAGGGCAATACACAAAGCCAGCGTTTGAGCATTTTAGAGGCCCATCACTTGTCCGTCACATGAAACACATAAGCCTCTTCTACAAATGTGTTAGTCCAAAGCATTTCTGACATACATGACCTTTTCCCTTTTGAATAGTCTATTTTGTTTCCTGCATGCCAAGTGAAGCATATTCTCAATTTGTTGTTAAAATCACACAAATCTCCCACTATCTATGCTGTAAATTTGTATCCATAATGATCAATCAACGATCCCAGTTTTACCGTTAACATTCCTGTTTCACTCTGAGCAGAGAGCGTGAGCAAGAGAAATTAAATGAAAACAGTGCCATGTTCTTCCTGTGTGGGTGGAATTTACACTATTTTTGTCCGTCGAATTTCCGCCTGGAAGAATTGGTCTTTCAGCTCTTTAGGAGCTGTGCTGTTGAATGGACAGGTTGTTGTGAGGATGGTGAGGTTTGGTAGGTGGTGGTTTGAGTGTTGCTATAAAAAAAAAGAGAGTAGGGCTGATTAGCTGGATGGAGGAGAGGGGAACGTCAGGTGTTGTTGTACACTATTTGTCAGTGTAGTGAAATGCAGACCGAGCTGAACAGCAGCTGTGTGTAAAGACAGGAGTGCAAGATGGCACTTGGCATTTTGCAGGAGACCAATGGGTTACTCGGATATTCGCCGTGGTTGTCAACTCTCGTACACACGCTATTATTAATTCTTATATCACCTTACCTTCTTATTCAGTCAGGTTACAGTGTCGGACATTATAGACAAACAGATACTCTGGTATGTGATCTGCTTCTTTTACAGACTTTTATCAGGAAGACAACCTCACTAAGTGCTTCTGCTGATTCTCATTGATCGCAGTCGTAGCTGCCATACAGTGAGGAACATAGTGGAAAAAATGCTTGTCAGTAAAAAGAGCAAAGGCCATCATGCCTAGCAATGGAGAACACTTCAGAGGCAGCTAGAGAAATTCAAAAGGGAGATTTGTTATTATTTAAAGGCCTTGGACTACATAGCTCAGTCAGTGAAAATGATGAATTGATGCTTTCATAAGTGGCAAGCTGTATTTATGTATGTATCTGTGTGTGCAAAGACCCAAGCCTGTATGGAGAGACAAAGAGGAGGGATCCTCTCAGAGCACTGATGAACTAAAGTGGAAAGTCACGCTGTGGGAGAGATGTGTGTGTGATAAATAATTGGTGTAGGTGCCCACTGGAGACCAGTAGTGGAGGAGCGGAGGTGGCTAAAGGTCTGATGGGGAGCTCACCTCCATCTGTGATTTAAGTGTGGAGGTACTGCTCCCTACACACTTACTTTCACACTCATTTTCTACTCGGCCATGATGAGCACAGTAAACAGACAACAAATCCCCAAGTGTTCAGTCCTCCCAGTTGGCCCTGTAGGAATCCAAAGCATGGAAAACACACATGCACACATGCATGTCTCACACACACAGTTTAAGAATTTTATTCAACTCAAGGAGTGCAGGAGGTCCAGTGTGTGTCCTTCTGATATCTTTGAACTCAGGTCTACTCTGTATAGAAGTACCTGTGTGTTCAGAGAGAGTTGGTGTGGTTATGTGTAATGAGGAGCTTGCTAGAAAATGTCAGTCTTATCTCTCAATAAGCCAGCCTGTAATTTAATGTAATTCTTGTACCCTTACGCTGTTAACTATAGAAATGAATAAAAAATATTACAGTACTTTTTAAAAATGTATGAAAAAGACAGGTTTTTCAATTCCTGGGTCAAAAGCCAAATGTGTTTTTCTGTATAATGTAAAACCAGCTTTTACTTTAAATTCTGTTGCTATTCTAATTTAAGTACTAGCAAGAAGAAGTTGTTAGAAGATTAGAAAGACTTCTAAAACTGGGATCAAATGTGTTAATTAACTTGGTAAAACAAAATAAAAAACCAAACAAAAAACACTTCAGTTAACAAGGTGAAAAGCTGGTGTCTGAGCAAAGGTTGAACACCACCAATTTAGAACTTATGTTTCTAATGAGAATCAATGATATTTACTAAATCGTTTGTACCAGGTAGAGGAAGCGGGGGAGGGTGCAGTGAAGGTAGAGGGTCATCTCTCCATGCCACCACTGACTGAATCCCAACTCTCAAACACCCAGGAGTTACAATTGCTACCCTGAATAGCCTGTTATTAAGTTTACTTATTTGACTAACCAATACAAAGAACAGAGAGGAAGAAAAACAAACTCTTGGATAGACAGGTAAAGTCTGTGAGCATGTGAAGCTGAAACAATTAAGGTAAAGTTTCTGTGGATCAGTGATAACAGCTTCCCAGTTTGATAGTTTTGAGGGAATCAGATGTGTAATTGTAAAACTAGGTAGAAAGGGTGACATCAAATAAAGGCCCAGCCAGGTTCATGACAGCAAGCATTCACTGCACGAGAGTCCTGGGTCAAAAGAAGAAGAAGAAGAAGAAAGAAAAATGTTTGATACTCTACCTTTTAATGTAGTCATCATGTAGTCACGTTGTGTTAGTTATTTCCTATATTAAACAGGATTGTTTCACTGAACCTGTTTTATGTGGTATATCATTGCAAGTATCGATGATACCTGTGGTCCACAGTAGTCGACAGGGAGGTTGATGTCAAGGATATTACATGATAGTAATCCCAACAAAACAGAAAAGCCTGTGTATTTAATTGTAGAATTATTCACTGCAGTGCCAATTCAGTTTTCTGTGTTTGTATTGAGACAAAATCCTAATGGGCGCTTTGTGATGATCATAAATGATATAGCTGTCACGACAGTGTGTATCCTTTTTAATATCACAAAAGAACCAGACCTAATGTTCCTCAGTGCCCTAGAGAGGAGGTGAATGCCCATCACCAAGCATGCCTTCGGCATGTAAAGTCCATACCCACAGCAGTGACTAATTGTTTGTTATGTCAGTGCTTGTCGTGCCCGTTTGCCTTTAATGGAGTGTAGTGTGGTGATCCATCAGGCTGTCGAGCAAGCCCCATGTCAGTTGAAGTGGCTGTGTGTCAGTGGGGCGAGCGTGCGGTGCAGATGTGATTTACTGCCCTGCTTGTTGCGCCGCGTTGTGCCTCGCCTCTTACCCACGCATTGCAGCCCACTCCTCTCATCTACTCTTCTCCCCTTTTCTCTCCTCTCTCCCCAGATTGATGGCCAGCGCAACTAGCTCATGACACTTGCCATCTTCTGGCAACCTTTTAGTGCAGTTTTATAGATGGTTAGCGTACCTCATTTGGCTATTTATACATCTGTAAGTGGCCATGAAATATAGATTTGTCTTGATGGGTGTCAACATTGGAGCTATGGAAGTAGAGCTCAGTGACACCTCGTTATTTTAATGGTGTGAGATAAAGAGGCCGCATGGCAGGAGTAATTTTCAAACATGGCTAAATTATACTGTTTTTATTTTCATTTAATGTTTGCACTCATATTTTACTCAAAGCAAAAAGCCGTTTTTTATGCATTGTTTGGTTGGTGCTAAGAGATGTAAATAGGGAGAGAAGTAACTGAGGATGGAAAGGAACATCCTGCCTCTTTCTCTCTCACGCACACATGCACATACTCTAAACCACATATTCTATGTGAACGTCGAGGTGGTTCAGAGTGAGAAGAACCCTTAACAGTAACATGATGTGTGACCTGTCATCCACACACGCGCATGCACATATTTCACTCCATTCACAGGCAAGGTCTCAGAGGTAATTAGGTGCTGGCACCCACTCAGCGCGATGTGCTGGTTAATTGAATAGTTAACACATCAGAGGCAGGCCTTTGCAGATTGGAGGTGACACCTGTCAGGAAGCTGTTCTCTCCCGACCCAGGACATTTCCTGCTCTGCCTGATACATATGTCATCTTTGTGGAAATACCAAATTAGGGGCAGGCAGCCGAGTGAGTGCAGTGCAGCAGGTGTTGAGATAGCTTGGGGGTGGAGGAAGGCAGGTGCTCCTCTGCTCTGTCCTTCAAGAGGATTTGTAAAGCTCCGGGCACCTATCCTTACTTCACCTCGGGCCATTTCCATGGCTATGTGACAGGAAAGTGACAGTGCTGTGTGTCTGTGTGCTTGTGTGTGTGTGCGCACCCATATGTGTACGTTTCGACAGGCTCTTCCCCCAGGCCCCGGCGCCCAAGGCATCCAGGAGTTGAGTATGCATCGTGCAGAGGTGTGTCAGCTGAGTAGAGGTGTCCACACTCAACCAGCTCAAAGACTGACAGATGTCTGACAGATAGGCTGGCATTTGCAAAAAATTACCAGTTTCTCAAATGATTTTTTTATCTCCCATACAGTAAAATTGTGTGAGGTTCCATATGTGTCCTGAATGAGTGCTTGCATTTTTGTCTAGAGGTGTGGCCCCTTCAGGAGGCAAGAGATTGGCTGCAGGTGGAGGTTCTGTCCAGGGCCAGTGCAGTCAGCAGGAGATACCACTCAAGAGCAGCGGGTTACCACACTGGAACAAGACCTGGAGGCTGCTCACAGCCAAACTACTGAAAGGAAGCAGGTGCCAGCTGATACGGGTACTTATGTTACAGTTAGAAGCCTTTCCCTACATATAAAGTGAGCAATTAAACTTGGATACATACAGTCTCACACAATATACTCAATATGTCCTCTCCCATTCTTCACAGCAGTGCAGAGAAAGGGTGGACTACTGCATTAGATGATGTAGAAAGAGGCTGTGAAGACAGTGAAGCAGCAAACAGCTGGAGGCCCACAACCTGGTGGCAGTACTTCACTGATAGAGCAAAGAGACCCAGCATGGCCTCCCCTCAGCCCAGATGCCGCAGCATACACAGGGGCTCACTGAAGACAAAGGCCACTGCGTTGACTCTGGTATGGGGAAAACACTGCAGTTGGTCTCTCTACCTGATTGAGAAAGTATTGTTGTACAGTGCTCAGTGATTTTTGTGGAAATTGCAATAGTTTGAGACAGTGTCTGTGGGTCCATCTTATCACTTGTGTGACGCATCACACTTTGTCTCTTTGTTCTATCGCTACTGTCATTCCTTACTGTCAAATGGGGCAGAAATATCCTGAATCTCCTCAAAATCTTTTAGAGGGAAAGTTGTCAGATACATTTTTGCTCCACTGACAGTTTCTTATCAGTCCCTCTGTTTTTCTCATGTCTCTCCAAGAAGAGGCTATTGAAATTACAAAATCAAGAAATGAAAAAGACATTGATACAAAGAGAGAATGATTGAAATGGTATAAGTCAGGGAGAGAGGGAAAAAGGAGGGGGAGTGACAGTGACAGGCTTTCGTGTCAGGTCAGCTAGCCTCCAGTGCTGGCTTTAATATATTGCGTGAGACAGTCACCTGAGTGTGTGATGTGGCAGCTGCCTCAGCCAATCACCTGCAAGGAAATTGCCCATCAGTTCACAGCCCTAGGCCTTTTGTGTGGTACACATTACTAATCTACACAACATACCCACTTACAAAAGCCCACTCACACTAACTATGAAAACATCCTGTTATGCATATCAAAAGAATCTGAACTTATGGATATAGAAAAAAGATCTGCCAAAAGTTGATTCGCGGAAAGAAAGTGTCAGTTAGATAAAGGTCAAACAAAATATGGAATTATTTCAAAAAGTAAGAATTCTATACTTTGTTAACACTTTGGGTAACGACTCTTCGTCATCCAGGAAAGGAACAAATGTGTCTTTGGTGTGTGTGTGTGTGTGTGTGAGAGAGAGAGAGAGTGCATACATTTGTTTTTGTATATCTTACATCTTGGATGTCTGTTTTGTGTGCCTATATCAGCCCAGGAACGAGGGGAGAGAACTGTTGCCAGCAGGTGGGCATCAGCAGACTCAGGAGTAGCCGGCAGATGTGGTGAATACCGAGCAGCTCCAGAGCATTAACCGCAAAGCTACAGGTATACTGTATTCCCTCATGTGTTAAGAGCTTAAACCTGAAATATTTGTACCTCTCAGAGTTGTTACAATATGAATTATCATGAGACTGCATTTAATTTATATGCCATGCTTTCTCTAGTCAATATGAAAAACACCAGGAAATCCTCTGACTGTGAGCGCTTTTAAAACAGTGCTGTGCCTCTCACAGACAAAACTAGTGGCTGACAGATGTTTTAGCACTGTAACTCCTGTATCCCCTATCCCCTCACCCTTCCACCCATCCCATTCCTCCCATTCCACACCATCAATCTGGGCTGTGTGTGGGCCAGGCACTCAATAGGCGGATCATTTCTGGGTGGGACCCTTGTGTGAAATCAGACGGTTAACTGGCCAACTGAAGTGGGATAGGAGCATCTTAACCAGCACCTTGCCATAGGTCTCATGTTCACTCAGCCACTGGGGCTGCTGTGAGTACGCCCGCCACCTGCCAATAGGCATTAGGGAGGATTTAGTAATTAAGTGATAGGCTGAGGACTAAATTGGGTGTTTGTGGGCTGGCAAGCCACCCCAAGGTCCCTACAGCCATGCAGATAGGGGATTCTAATTGCCAGGAATATTGATCAGCCTGGCGAGGGGGGTGTGCAGGGAATTCACTAGCCATCGATTAGCTGTTACTGCACCTCACTCGTCAATGGAAGAGGGAGGTGAGCATTGGAAAGGCTCTGGGCTTTTCCCACAGTATCGCTCACCACCACCAGCTCCTGACACACGCATTCACAGTCAGAGTCAGTGACACAGCATGTTGTGATGAGAGCGCTCTCTAAACTTCCCCACATCCTCCTTCATATCCGTAAACCGACTTTACTCTCTTGCAGGTTTTCCAGTGGTGAAACTGGGAAGCAGAATAGGGGCTTTCCAGAGGGCTTACTAGCAGTGTTTTTATGTACTAATAAAATGCCACCCTCCACCCAACCCCATCTTTCTCCCTCCTCCTCGCTTTTTCCTTTTCCATACAACTTGGCGCTTGAGTTTGTAAGGGCTCTGACCCGTGGCTGTGGTCCTAGTTAATGTTGGTGGGACTGAGCTTGCCTGCCCTTTGATATTTAATTAGTTGCTTCACCTGGCAGTAAATAGGGCCTGGTCAGTGCTCTCTCAAACACACACACATACTTCTGATCACTTATGCTCCAGTGACACGTCACAAAACAACCTGCCGTACAAAACAACACTGTGCAGGCAGAATTACTAAACAATCTCTCATTAAATCTTTAAGCTTGCCTGGTCAGATTGAATCTGAGTCGCACATGCACACATTGCCGTCTATTGATTTGCTTCCATGTATGACATGCTTACAGGACTTTAATTTCCTATGATTGGGCTGAATAGAGAAGTAATCAATTATTAATAATAAGTTTAATGTTGGTAACAATGAGTTTAGTGTTCTATTTTGATAGGTTTTCAGAAAAATAATTGTTTTTCCTACAATGTCGTATTTGAGATTGTCAATTAAAGGAGGCCAGGATGAAAAACTAAGGTGGATTCTTTCAAGAAAGAGGTTGAACAGAACTTGCCATAAAGCTGGAGGGAGAACTGATGGAAAAGTAGGGAAATGTTAGGACCAGTCAACAAAGAATAATCTCTGATCTCAGCTTGCACAACAATAAAATATATACCGTCCTTGTGAGTGAGTACCCAGTTTCACTTTACATTAATGTATGTATTTTACTTTATTACTTTATTATTTTATTTTATTTAGAAAAAACAGAAAAACAATTGCATTATATTTAGGTAAATAGCATCATCCCCTCAACCATGTTGCATATAACTTGTATCTGGATTACCTTCCAATGTGTTTGGTGCCTTGCTCGAACGACACCTTGTGAAGGTGACGTGGAAACAAAACATGGATTTCTAATTTTTCATTGTCATGTAGTTGACTGAGTTTGGTTTTTCTTTGCCGTCTCTGCTTGTGTTTTATATTTGTGCTGAAGTGAATTGCAGACACAGAAGCAGTGAGAAGGTTTGCTGCACAGCAGTCTCTAACCTGAGTCATTTAGAGCCTATTACAAAACATCAATATATTGATTGAAGTAAGTGTCTCAGTGTACTGCTCTGTAAACACACGGTTGGTTTGGTTGTGCATGTTTTATCTGCTTGAATCTTATCAGGATTTAAATCTTTTCATCTTCAATTCACTTAATCGTGGCACTATTGGCTTTTGAGCCAAAGGTCTGGCTCATTCTGCCCTGGTTTGTTTGGTTAATTCTCAACAAGATAATAAAAAATACCAACAACATAAAGAACCTAATGTTAATAATATACTTTTTATTTGACTCACATGTATTAAAGGTTCTGCTTGCAAAGCATAGATGTGTTTGATTTTCTACTGGCTCCTGGCCATCATAGAAATGTAAATGCCAATGGCTCTGTAAACCACTATGAATGAGAACTTTTCACAGATGGTGAAGCTGTGTGCCAGATATAAGAGCCTGTCTCATCTACCATACAACAAGTCAGGCAGCAGGAGCAAAGGGTCAAAGAGACAGAAATGTTTTCACAATGTCCGGTTGCTTTTGTCTTCTTATGGAAACATTGTTATTGGAGACAAAACAGCCAGAATTTACCTTCTGCTATTCTCCGATTGGTTGATTGTGTGGCAAATTGTAATGCTGTAAAAGGTTGAGCGAGTGTACAGGCAATATTTATGCACGCCAAGGGTGAGATTTTAAGAGAAAGAAAGAGAATGTGAGTTAGTGTGCAGCAGTCTGCCAGTGTTTGTGAAAGGAATATGAGTAAAACTGAGTGGGAGGGTTATTATTGCATGTTAATATGGATAATAGCAAACTTGCAAGTACATTTAGTGAGTACAGAACAGATTTTTGTTTGCTCAAACTAGTGTATAATTTCTCCTCAAAATATTATATATATTTTCTCCCATTGCTCGCTCAGAAATGAGGCAAAAATATAACACCATATACATTTATTTTCGCCTTGTGTACTTATATTCTAATAATATTAATGTCTGCATACAAGGGTCCATAAACAGTATTGGAATTGCATAAATTGGGTAGGACTGGAAAGCTGAAACACTTGTGGATTTAATTAACTCAGTTGTATTCATGTGTGATGATGTAAATGCCCATAGTAGCCATTTCATCGTCGAGACACTTTTTTCTTGACCTGACTGTATAACATGACCTGTTGTGACCTGTAGGTTGATCACTGCCTTATGAAACTGTACAACCACAAACTAGAGGCCGAGGGGCATCCAGAGGATGGATGGCTTTCCTAGTTATATTGAACCCACTGATTCCTCATCATATTTTAGTTGTACAAAAATGGTAGGATTGGTGAGATTGAAAGGAAGTTGACATGGAAAAGTTCACTAGCGTATCATCATCCCCCCACACACACACTTGGAAAACTCATTCTGGCACCACTGTATCCAGCAGCACCGGACTGTAAGGTGAATATCATGATTTGAATTCATGTTCCCATACGAGTCTGAACTGTGTGATTTCCAAGGTCATTTTGTCATCTCTAAAGGGTGATTGTTCCCCCATGCTTGCCGTCTGATTGAAGCCTAGCTACCACGTTTATACACCACTCAGTCACCCTCCAGCCATGCTCACAAATTGAATTAGTTTCAGTCTGAATTTGTGTTTCAAAACTAGTAATTATTTTTTAACCCCAGAGGAAGCTGAGAAATGAGTCAGATCTTCACAAGTCATGAAATTTGACGATATATGATTTTACACCAGCCAAAGGGACACAAGCCTGAAGCACAGCAATTTACCAACCATTCATCTGTTAGCAAATTAAATCACACCACATTTGACATCTTTTAGAAAGTTAGATAAATCTGATGAAAAAGTTTCTCAATTACCATCTGAAATTAATCTCCTTAATCCCAATTTGATCTCTTTCATGCATATAAGGAGTATCTTTCATCTGCCCACCTATGTGCTTTAAATCTTCACCACAGAGTTAAGATGGAACGTGACCGTCAAACTTAGTCCTATGTGAAACTCCAACACCCATGCAACTCCATAAGATGGGGGAACTGATTAGGGGAGATGAGGACAGAGGGGCGTAACTGACAGCCGCCCATTATCTCTCTCTGTAGCCGGTGGAGATCTGTAAGCAGTCTCCATGAGTATGTGACGGAGCTGCAGAGCGCTATCCAGAGACCGGGATGGTTCAGTTGCAGAGCTGGAAAACAGATAGAGACAAAAATACATCTTATTTCCATCACAACTATTTTCTGATGTTGATTTGATATTTTTCTTTTTTGATCTTTTACATCAAATGGTACAATCTGAAAAGTTAAACCATGCTTTAGAAACTACTTACATTTCTGCATTAAGAACACAAGCAGGCATTGGTTCATTTTAAGGGGTCACAAGCCAGGGTGGTTCAGAACCACTGTTGCATATTATAGGTTTCAGGTGAACATTAATCCATTCTGTGTTTTGTGGGCACATAACTCTGCCATATGCACCTTGGAGGGTGCACTGTTCATGTTTTGTGTAGTATGTAGATGTAGAGGCTCTTGTGTACTGTGTCCTGTTTGAGAGAGGCCTTACAATTAGTTTACAGTCAGCTCCAAAAAAGAAGGACTTGCTGCTTGGGCAGCTTTTACCTGAGAGAGCAAAGAGGTGGTTAGAGTGCAGCTGCTACTGGTATTGTTGGAGGTTGAGCTCCTTCATGTTGGCACATGGCTTGTTGCCTTGTTTAAATCTGGGTACCCATCAAAGCTTATATTGAGGTCAAAACAGAATTCTCCATAAATGTAAAAAAACCCCCCCAAAAAACAGTTAAGTGTGCATTTAGCTGTTTTACCATGTGTGTTTGATTGTGTTGTGTGTTGCGGCAGAGAGGAATCGTGGGTGGCTAAGACTTAATCCTCTCGTGTTATGTCCCATCTGCGGAGGAGTTTTTAGCTGACAGAAGGAACAACTAAGCACCAAAATATAGAGATGACCAGAGTACAGGCAGAAACTCACATTATGAGTTACAGATTCAGAATATGCACTTCCTGTTTCCCAGCATCTGAGCTGCCGGGACCACAGTTGATACTGAGTGATTAGGCTTGGTTACACACCAGCTCTCCCCTCTTTAAGCGGCACTTTGACCAGCCAATGTCCTACAAGCCCCGAGTACCACTATGATGTGAATGCTCTATAATAGGAAGGAAAATGAGTCTCATCTCCTATCTCAACAGTGGGTATTAGTTTATGATAGCCAGAGTCAGAGAAGGGGCACAATGCTTGCTCCTTCACAGAGAATTCTGGTTATTAGCGTGGACCACACAGCCTTTTCTCAAGAAGAGTCCTAACCCTCAGAGGTCACACTGTTCACTAATTGTATACTACAGGCAAGATCTGATTCTTTTGTCAAGAAAAGGGGAGACCAGTTAGCTTTGCCCTTTCTATGTATTTCTAAAACTGATTAGATAATGAGGTCTTTTTCCTGACTCGAGACCTGGGTGTGCAGTAGTATTTAATATTACCAGCTGGATAGGTTTTTATTTATTTTAGCCACTTACAGAACCCAATACAGTGGACCTCTTGTATTTGTGTTTTGTTAGTTACATATTTGTTTTTGTCTGGAGTCCTGGTGTACACTTTGGTACCTGCTCTCTGCTCTACAGTGTCATTCCTTTTATTGACATGTGTGCATGCATGATTGCGTACAACTGTATTCCTGTGTGTGCGTGTGTGTGCGTGTGTGTGCGTGTGTGTGTGTGTGTGTGTGTGTGTTTGTACGTGTGTGCTGACTCCTGAGCCAAGAGCACATCTCTGGCTCATCTCTAAGGCCTGGCGTCAGCCTCCTTAAGTGCTGTCAATGTCACATGGTAACAGCAGCACTGCAGCCTCTTAATTGGTTTAGGAAAAGCATCCTTGTCATTTTGCGGTCAGTAAACTCCGCTAGAGAAAATGAAGTCCAAGCTGCTGCTGCCACCTCCTCAACCCCCACACAGCCAGCCCAACAAAAAAATAATGATTATGTGCCGTGTATATTTGTGCGTTCACTGTCTGTTTTCACTTTTTGCTTTTAGAAATAATTGCTGTTGGTTGTGTGGCTGCATCAGAGGAAGGGCATTAATGATTCTCACTGGCCGCGAGGAAACACGGCACTGCAGAGGGCAGGGGGAGAGCAACTCATTTTCTAGAACTAAACGTGTGTGAGCGTGTGTGTGTGTGTGTGTGTGTGTGTGTGTGTGTGTGTGTGCGCGCGCGTGTGTGCACGTGCGCATTTGTGCCTGAGTGTGTTTGTGTTTGGTAATTTATTTTTAGTAGTTTCCTCACTTTGTCATGCAGTACATACTGTATGCGTCCAATAATAATTACTCTTGCAGTGTGTGCAGAGATGTGTGTATCTTTGAATGACTTTGATACACGTGCGTGTGTGTGTACGGTGCGTGTGCATGGCTGTCCTTTTCCAAAGATTAGCTGGTGAATGCTGTGAGAGGATGATCAGACTGGGAGCACACCAGGGTTGCTCTGCGATCACACAGGGATTATGGGGGATATGGAGCTGTAGTGCATTCCAGGGCTGCCTCCAGTTAGGCTCATCTCCGCCACGCTCCCCTCACACACACACCACTTTAATTGCCTCTGCTTCTTTCATTACTTTTATTGCCTCTCCTCTGCATTGCGTGCTCCCTGGGCTTGTGGAAAGGTCATTGTGATGGTGGTGGTGTGCTCATAGCCTTCGTCTCCCTGACTAGCAGGAAATAGCTGTGGGGCTGAAGCTGGGGAAACGGGTGACACAACAAAGGTAGCATCTGACAGGCTGTGCACAGATCACAACATTTTCTAATTCATTTTTTCAAAACAACTCGATAAAGTAAGTCTACACCAGAATTATATTTTTGAATGCCAGCAGGTGTGTCACAGAAATAAGGGGGATTTCATTAGGTCATAGATATAGATCCTTACTCTGACTAGCTTTATACAAACTGATATTGAGTAGAATGCTAAGTAAGGCAACAGCATAATCATTATTAAAAATGGCTTCATCACCCGACAAAGGGAGGATCTATACAGGCAGTGTTAATAGCATTAGCAATATCTTGGCTCGGAAGCAGTGAAGAGGTGACAGACCTTGGATTAGGGACATGTTTGTGCCTTATTGCATCCCCTGTGCACAATACTGGGAAAAATAGAGGTCTTAGTGGTGGTAGGATCTTTAAGTGACTTATAGTTTGAATCGTGGTACAATGAAGTTTGTCTTCCCTGGTCAATTGAAGTTACTTCTACCAAAACATCTTAAAGATGTGTACTTTCCTGACACAGTACAAACGAAGACCCCAGCATGTTTCAATGTACTATACACAGATGTTCCTTTTTTAATAGTATTTGTGGTATTTAATAATATTCTAACAACATGAGATATTTTTTTAAAGTAAATATGTTTTTTTTTACTTGTTGTTATTATTATTATTATTATTAAGCCTCCTGAGCAGCTGTGGCTCAGCGGGGCGTCACTGATAACAGGTTTGATCGTGACAGTTTGATCTCCACTTCCTCCTGTCTAAGCGTCCTTGGGCAAGACGCTGAACTGATGGTCAGGCCAGCACCGTGCGTGGTAGCTCGCTGCCACTGGTGTGTGAGTGTGTGCGTGCTGAATGGGTGAATCAGTGGTGAAAACCTTGTAAAGCGTGTCCAACTTGCAGGTGGGTAAAGAGTAGCAGGCATTGCTGGCCATCTGTGTCTCTCATGGATAGCTATGACCTAAGGTAGTTAAAGTCTGCAAAAACAGAAGCATAGTAGAGCAGTTTGTTGTAGATATGGGATATCTTTTTTTATATATATTTTACTTCCTTTCCACTGTCTCTGTGCTTTAATCTCTTTTCCTCCCTCTCTGTCCAGGTCCAAGGTGGAGGTTTTTGTGTTCGGTAAGACAGCTCTCATATCCACAAGATGCTCTCCACTGTCAACCAGTTGGTCCTGGAACGTAAGGCCTTAATACACACCACATTACTGCTGAGGTCTCTCTGCACTTGCACAATAATTGGTTTCTATCCCAACAATAGCTAATGCACATTTTATCATATTCCTACATTGCTGCAGGCAAGCAAATGAAAAACTGGCACTGAAAATAAAAGAGCCAAGCATGAAGATCATCCATCTTCGCTAAGAAAGAGAAAGTGGACAGAAGAGAGAGAGTTATATTTATATGCCTTATTCTCAAATGCAACAGTGTGTGAAATACAGTGCGTTTTTTGTTTGTGTTTATGTGCAGGTGCACATGAATCCACCTGCAGGAGGGTGTGGAAGCTTGACAAATTGAGGTCAGGAGATTAAAGCTGAGGTTGACGAGAAGAGGATTGAAGAGGAGAAGATCCAGGTATACACAGAGAGAATGAAGTCACTGGGCAAAATCTACAAATGTTGTTGTGCAATGTAACATTTTTACGTTCTGTTTCATTTTTTAGGTGTTAGGCCATCGCACAAACAGGTACCTGAATGAAGTCTTAAGAAAGTTCTTGACCCTAATGTAAATATTTTAACATTAACACATACTGTTCGGTTGCTGAACATCATCGTCACTGAGCACAGGTTTTTGGAAAATGCATTTACAGATTAAAACCATAGAGAGTAACTTAACACCGGCAGAACAATGTTTATGGTGACATTGTTTGTCTGCAGCCACTTGGTGTTAAGTTACTCTTTAATGCAAAGAGGGCACTAGATACAGAATATATTGCAGTGAGTAGAGTGTCTGATGTGTTTGTGTAGCAGCACGAGGCAGACATTGCTCCATTAGGACACAAATTAAAACACAAAACATTTTTATCAATACAAACAAATCCCCTTTTCGCTTTTTTCAAAGACAAAATTTGCTGAAACTGTTGCTACTGCTAAGCACACAGTAATGTCTTTTTTAGGCTTCTGAAGCCAGTTTGAAAGCCCAATGCAGAGCTCTTACCAAAGAAGTTTCCACTTAATCGAAAGAAAATAAGTTTAACTGATTCCTGCTATAGACACGGTCAAATGATCCCCATTAGTTGCGTGTTTCCATTCCTGTGCATCCTTTGACCAAGTTTACTAGTGAGACAAACCTGAGACAGTACATGATGTGGTGACTTTGGTTGTGATCATCCTACTCTGTTAAACTATCATAGTCCAGACAAAGACTTCACACTCCAAAGGAGGCTGCAAATCCATACAAGCCCCTCTCTGTGACTAAATGTTCTCTACTTCTGCTCTGGCAGACTCCAGAGACAGTGTCAGTGACAAAGCAGTGAACTTTCAGACAGAGCATGAGTGTTTCTGGAGTGGCTCATCTGAAACACGGGTCAATACAAACACTCACCAGCACATCACAGACAGTATCACTGAAAAGCAAAGCTTGTGCATAACTCCCAGGATTTTATTGGCTGTCATGTTGATTTTGCTTGTTCTGGGATTAGCATAGGCCTCAGTGTGTTTTTCTGACTAATGGTCTGTGTTTTCCGGCTGTGAAATCAGCAGCCTGAGAGCCCTGAACACAGACTGCACATCAGTGTTTGAAGTCCGCTGCCCCCCTGGGTTGTGCCTCTGGGTCCTGTTGCTAATGCAGCCCCAGCACATTTCTCTCTCTCCTTTACATACAACCATGTTTAGTACTCCTCTCTTTCTGCACCCAGGATGACCTCCACTGTAATCTGCTCGACTCTGGCCAGCTTGTGGCGTCCCCACCTGTGTGGCCCAGACCCGACTGATGGCTAAAGCTTGTTAACACCGAAGACACATTTGTGCAGTTAGCTGGGAAATCTTGAGGGTGGGCAAAGGAAGTCAGTGATCAAAGGACATGGTGCAGCAGAGGAAGAGGTCTCGCCTCCCTGGCACACTTTGAGTGTCTAGAGTTGGCAAACTTTTTACCCAACTGACCCAAGGACGTTCTCTCCTCTGGCCAGACAAACTGGTACGTGTTAGTCGCTGTTAGTGTTCACCTGTGAGACACTTTTAAGTAAGCGTGTCACTCAAGCATTACCATGGAAACTTCCAACAATTTCTAAATAAATTATGAATTTTATGCGTTACTTCAGAAAGGGTTTTTTGTTGGTGGAATGGTGTCCAACAGTTGAAGCCATCTCATTTTTCTCCCCCAATACAACCTTCCCGCAGAGTAAGCCAGATTTGTGTTGCTTGGCATTTGCCTGCCACACGTTCCCATCTGATATCCTCTCAGATTGAAAGGAGGGAAATTGGGGCTGATTGAAGGGATAAGTTTTGGTGGTGAAAGGACAGAGGCAGAGCGAGAGCTACGTGAAAAAGATGTGAACCCAATCTGCCATGTGTTGACTGTACTGATTAGGGGCTTGTGCCAAGAAGAGCCTCTCTATCCCCTCATTCCTTCTGTTTACTTTGTGCCTCACCACCCTTCTCAACGCAGGCATCACTGCAGCCAGAGTGCCCCCCCAGTCACCCTTCTTAGCTTCAGCCATATCACCTGCATCACTGGGAGGCACAAGCGCCAAACTAGTCCAATTCAGAAGATGACAGCTTAACTAGGGATAGAAGGGGTTTCGTCCAGTTTGTTAATCCTTTAGAGAAAGTTGTGTAAGCAGTGTGATTGCTAATAAGAGGAGATTTGTGACATGTCTGAATATTTGCTCCATTTGCGGCAGTCTGACAGCTCTTCATGTCTGTGTATTTGTGGAGACCAGTGGAGAGCCGATGCAGACCGAGCCCATTAAGGGCCGCAGGGTGACTGGAGCAAAGTCCAGCTAATGTTTTGGGACATTCAAAAAGCCTGCAGGGAGCCAGAAGTACAGAGGTGGTCTGAAAGCAAACCGGATATCCAGGGAATAATAATAAATGGATAAATAAGTGCATAAAATGGCATGAGAGAAGCTAGGGAAATAGCACATCTATTCTCACGCAGCACGTTTGTTTATTTATGGCGTCTGACGGCCTGGTCTGGATGGCTGGTGGGGGCTGGGGGCAGTATAAGCACAGGCTTTCCCCTCTCACTGCTCGCCTCCCTAGCTTTCATTAAGTGTCATTACCAGTACTTTCAGAAAGCTGGCCAGGCTGAGACCCTGACATCCCCTCTACAGATAGTTGGCCATGCATATGGATGGATTTCTGATCCCTCTCATCCACCACTGAGGAGGGGGAATTAGGCCAGCGAGAAGGAGAGCAGGGGGCTTAAGGGGTGCGTCCATATCGGACTTTAATGGCAAAGATGGAGCTATTATTTCAATTGAGGAACAGTGTTCCTGCTTGGTTTGCTGTTGTGTATATGTCACTCAGGTTATCAATATTCTGAGTGTTTCACTTAAGATTTCCTTTTTTCTGACCATATGGGTCATGAACACCAATGTCTGTATGATCAAATACATTTTACGCTCTCGTGAAGAATTGTATTTTCATTGCGACCAGTTGTGCAAAATACCCACAATGCCATTTTAAAATGTGCATTTGTAGCAGCATGGTATTCATTAGCAATTTGCTCTTCCAGTTCACTCACTTTGAGAATGTCCCCTGATTGATGGGGGGGGGGGTGTTCTGTTTATTTGTATATCGTGGAATGAAATATTCATATTGTACGCTTTTCCGAGCAGAAGTTATCTAGATTCAGTGTAAATGGTACTTGGGATTAGATTTTCACAGCAGATTGCTGTTATTAAGGGGAAAAAGCCAACTCCTTTGAGCAGTCATCTTCCTGGGAGGCAATCTATTTCTCTTTCACGCAGCCAGAGTGCTGGACCAGTCTCTTAATGCACTGAAGCAAAAGTGCTTCGGTCCGCAACCTTTCACGCCTTCAGCTCTCCTTTATGTGATTGAATAGTTAATAACTATGAGTCGCCTTTGAAAGCTTTGTGCCGTTGGTCCCTCTGAGGCACTCTTCTTTTTGTCTGTTTGGCTGCTGTACCTGCCCATTGCTCAGTCTGCCTGCATGTCTACTTGCCCCAGATGCCAAGTCGACTGATAGCCCACCTCTTCTCCACCAGCCCCTCTTACCTTTATCTTTGTCTCTTGCCTGACTTGCTGCTTGTGTGTCTGGCTGTCGTAGTCTGTACGTCAGAATTTTGAGGGCTAGGGATCAGTTTTTTCATCTCTTATTTCCTCGTTCTCTTCCTATACACATTAACACAAACACACACACACGCACACACACACACACACACACACACACACACACACACACACACACGCGCGCACACACGCTCGCTCTCACAGATCATTAGCCCATCCCACGCTCACAGCTCCGGCAGAATGTGACCCTGCCTAATTGTGTACCATGCTCATTTGTTCTCCCTGCATGATGTGACGATTGCTTATTTATTCTCCTCAGAGCTTCCATCTCACATTAAAATGATTGACTCATTTCATTCACTGCACATTTTCAAGCTTTATTTGATAAGCTCATTTTCCTTGGCAAATCCCCCCTTTTCCCATGCTTAAAAGTTATAATGTTACCGAGGCACATTATTATTCATACTTTGGATTGTTTCTTCGGCTAATTATCTGTGTTAGAAAATAATTTTGCACGTGTGATTCTGTTTATTCCGGTGGAATTGAGCAGGACAAAAGGGCAGACATTAACGATGCAGTTGGAATAGCTGAGGAGCCAATTGTGTACACAAAGCTGGCAGAAGCGGTCAACAAGAAGCTTAAGAGGGATTGGGACACTGGAAACTCGCCAGAATAAGCAGAGCAAATTTGCCTTCTGTTACAATTTACATCTGGTTAGAGACCCGTTTTACAAATAACAAAGCCATCAACCTTTTTGTCCAATCATGTAATGAGCGAGTGTTTTGACACAGAAAAGAGCATAACAAGCGATTGGTGATTGGGGGTTTGGGCAGCATTGTTACAGGAGGATTTTTAGCTCTTGTGATTTTGCCAGCTGACAGTCGATGTTTTTTTCCCTGCAGCTACTGTATATCGACCAGGCCTTAGTGACATAGCAGCTGCAGGAAACCTGCTCAGTGTACTGGTAGGTCAATTCAGACTTGTGATAGTGACTGGCAAAGGACACTAACCTAATACATATGAGGCATCATTCGGGCCAGGTATTGAATCTCAACCGACCAAAAGTAGAGCAAGTTGACATGGATGTGTGTTTAGTTATTTTTTACTTATTCTTAAAATGTTGCCGGTTTCTTGTAACGTTGCTGGTTTGTTTGGCTTCTTTTATTTAAAGGGTTACTTAAAGCATCAGAGGCTGGGATATACTAACTTTTGGTCTTTAGTAAGGGTCAAGTTCCAAAACTCTGGATCCTGCAATTCCCATAATGCAACACAATACCATCATTAATGTTATTTTGTCTCTGCTATCTTCAGAGAATTCAACTTGTTTCTTTAAAACAAAAATAATGATTAAGTGCCTTGTAACATCCCTTGTTTTTAGCTGCCTTAATGCTCTTTGATCATCCATTTATTGCCTGTGTTGTCTCTTGTGCTTTAGCTGTGCTCTGACTGCTAGAGGAGTTATGATTAGTCAAGCAAGGAGCCCACAGAAGAGGAGAAGAGTATCTGCTACCAACCTCCCCAAGCCTGCGTGCTCCCAGCAGCCATGCGTGCAGAGTTGGAGAGTTCCTCCAGGTCCAGGAGAGAGAGCACCTAAACAGATTTGGATGGATTCCACCTTTCTAATCCCAGAGACTGACATTTATATATCTGATAAGCCCCTAAAACAAATGAAAGGGGGAAGCTTCAGTTAAACTTCAAGTTTTCATGAATGATTTTAGAGTCTTGATTATGTGTTGAACAATTTTTGGTGTCCAAAAAAGCTATAAAGTTGTATTTTGTATATGTCGCTGAAGTAGACAGTTTTGTTATTTTGTGTCTTTGTTGAGTTTCTTGATGACTTAATGGATCAGTGTGTAGGATTTAGTGCCATCTAGCAGTGAAGCTGCATATTGCAACTAACTGAACACCGCTCATTTATTTGATGTATTCAGTATTTGATGAGCTGGGAATGAGAACAGGCTGTGAAGTGTGGAGGAGGAACTATGGTGGTTGCAAAACCCTATATACAACCAGTGATTGGTTTGTCCAGTCCAGGCTACGGTAGAAACATGGCAGTTCAACATGGGAGACTTCATTGAAAGTGACCTGATGCCGTTGTAGATTAAAAAAAATTCTAAGGTAACGAAAACACGATGATTCCTATATTTCATTATACACTAATGAAAACATACCTGTGAATATTATATTCCATTTCTACCGATAGATCCTCCTAAATGTGTATGTATGTCCTGATATAACTTCTGTTATGAATTGACGCTATACAAATAAAATTGAATTGAATTAAATGTTACACACTGGACCTTTAACTGGAGCGTTTTTGTTAGTACCTTTAGGTGGCCAAATGGGTTTGTAATTATGCTTTCAGTACAGCAAAGCTTAAGAAACAAGTATTAAAGCAGTTCCTCATTATAAATAATTAGAGATTGTATCTATGTAGGCGGAAATTTGCATCCTGATATTTGTTGTTTTCTATTTAACTACCCTGAATCACATTGTTTCAATTGTATTCATTTTTAGTACATGTAAGTTGAGAACATGATGAGCTAAAGGAATATAGATCTATTTTTTATGATTAAGTTTCTGTACGTTGATTTCTACAAAAGAAAAGTAGAGTGCTTGATGTGTTTTGAGTCACATACAGTAACTGCTCCTGGAGCCACAGACCCCACAAGCCAATGTAGCCAAAATCTTAATGAATATGGTCAGATAGACGAGGATTGCAGCCAAATAAAAGAATAATAAAGGCATCTAAACCCTAACAAGTCTGCCTTTGTTCTTCCACTCCACCCACCACAAGTTGGCTGCGTGAAAGCAGGCATTGTTGCAGCTTTGAGGGCAGCTCTGAGAGTTCCATGCCCATCGGCCTTCAATCACATGGGATGTCTGAGTTTGACAGTATAAAGTCTTTCTTCTAGAACAAAATAAGACCCCTAAGCAATAGTGGATGAGCTGTTAGTAACCATACAGTCCATAGGGAGGTAGACCAAGCATGGTAGTACAGTATACACAAAGTGCTGGTTAGGGATGAGACAATGGACCAGTAAAAACATTACTGCATGCTGCAACACTCTTAAATTTCTTACATTTACTAACAGAAGTAAATAGTATGTGTTTTGTATGGTAGAATAAAATTCCATTGGACTTATACAAACCCAAAACAAAAATTCCAACTCAGTTTAATTACTGATTTATGTAAGTCTTTCTTCTCTTTGTTGGAGTTGTAGCACATGACTCTCTCTTGCTCTCACAGAAGTTGCAGCAGCTATTGCCTTTTTCCTTTTTCTTGCACCATCCTGTCATCCCATGCATGCATGCATGCATGATGTGCCCATCTCTTTTTTGGTTTGACTTTTCAGTAGGCATCAGCCAGTATATACTGTGAGCTCACACAGAAGCAGTGAGACGGCTCTCCAGTCACTGGGTCGTAGTAGGTAAGTTATTCACTCACTGGTAGCACATAAGGATTAATTCCAGCCGTACAGGAAGAGGACACCATCGGTTTCTGCCTCGGCCAAATCAATAGGCAACATTCTTTCCAGCATAGCAGTCAATACACCACACTTAAGGTGTCTGAGGAAACTAAAAACACCAATAATTGTTATTAATGCCTTGGATCTCTTCAAGCATTGCATTTAGAGGCAGTCCTTATCTAAAGACATTCAGCCATCACATACTGTACATATCCCACAGAGGCCTCCAAGACTCTAGTTAAGTGTCTGTGAATACTAGGTACAAGAATGTTAACACACACACACACACACACACACACATATATATATATATATATATATATATATATATATATATATATATATATATATATATATATATTAACCATACAAATGCATGACTTCTCTATCATAAACTTTTGCATTAAATTTTCCGTTCATGGTCCCCAGAGGATGGTCTACTGACTGACTTTGATGATCTACTGACTTTTCCTCTAGTGCCACCATGAGCTTAACATTTTACTATGTTTCGACAATCACTGAATTGATTGCTATGATATCAGACAGTCATGGCACCCAGAGGATGAATTGTAATAACTCTGGTCATGCCTAGACTTAATTTGTCCAATACTTTGGTTTATGACCAAATACTTAAACTAATGACATTCCCTTCAGCCTCAGCTGTACTTTGCATTTAGTAAATTAGAAAATGTTAGCATGCTAACACACCCTAAACTAGATGATTAATGTTATACCTGCTAAACATCAGCAAGTTAGCAGCAAGCATTTAGCACCACCAGCATATCCGTAGATTCTTGTTCACATGTTATGACAACTGCTATTTAGACACTTCTGGGTACTTTGTCTAAATAGATATAGACTGACTCTAAATGCAATGCTTTTTATATTTGTATATTTTGGCTCAAATTATTTTCTCTATTTTTCTCTTTATTTATATTTTTTATACTTAATTTTAAGCACCAATTTACCAAGCCAAATTCCTTGTATGTGAACCTACATGGCAATAAACCTGATTCTGATTCTGAGTAGGCTGTTTTGGTTGTGGCTTGTTATTGGCATTAAACTTGACTGAAAGGGGTGGCACGTATGTGTCCTTGTGCCTTTGACAAGAGTGATATGAAATATGTTTTTAGCACCTAAATGTTAATGAGTTACTTCAATCGTTGATCTACTTCAGGATTGACAGCATAACCTACTATATTGACTCGAATTGATTTTGAATTCAAATCCCATCAGTTTTTATTCAGTTTAAAAACACCCCAGTTAATTTATTCAAAAATAATCTCCTTTCACACAAGAATGTGCAGGATGTTGCAGGGACACGACACTCAAACAGGCTTTAGTGCACCAATTCACACAGCCCACCCCATTACACATTGTATACAAAGCCACTCTATCAGGGCAGGCAGTTATCAAGTGAAGGACAGCTAACAACAAGCATGCATTGCCTCCTGTTTCCATCATAAACCACATGTGGGTTCAGAACTGGTGAAGGTAAGGGACTATAGAAGACAGGGGGTGTATGTATGTGTGTGTGTGTGTGTGTGTGTGTGTGTGTGTGTGTGTGTGTGTGTGGGGGGGGGAGGGGTGTAACATTCAAAATTCAATCAAGTGAAGGCCATCTCCAGCAGGGTAACAGGGAGTAGAGGGGGGGTGGAGAGATGAGGGGAAACTCAGCTGAAGTTTCCACTGGGCCCGCTGTGCTCCTAATGCAGCCTTGGATGTAATTGGGTCCCAGAAGGCTGTTCATTATCGGGGGTGAGCGAGGCAACAAAACAGAAAGGGGCAGAAAGAAAGAAAATGTCTCATTCTTTGCTCAGTGCCTCTGTCCTGGCACCATTATGGGACAAGAGTTAATTAAAAGAGCAGTTGATGCCTCTGTTTTTTTCATCAATCTCACTTCTGCTCTTATTAAGTTTGTAATGACAGCAGATCTTGTCCCTGTCTGCCACCAGACACACAACAAGGGGGAAGAATGAGAGAAAGGGAAGGGCGGGGTAGTTAATGTGAGGGACAGCTCATCTCAACAAATCTCACAGTGGTCAACAGCTAACATTCACCGTAATCCCTCCATCAAATATCATGGTGGCGACATGTAGGTAGAGGAGTGCTTTACTCCTATGAAAAGGACGCTTCTTTATTTGGGGTGTGGCAGGAGAGCCCATTTAAGAGGTGTGGCTTTGCACCCTAATCCTGTGGCTCCTATCTCCAACGCCTTGGAGGCCATTTTAATTCCCTCCATCATTACAGGGACCTTCCCTGGAAAGCTTTGGTAAAGGTGACTGCTGACACTGTCATTCACAAGGACTATTTCAAAATGTCAGCCCATAGCTGAGATTTGGCTCATTAAAGTTGGTGGAGTCCATTATATCCATCCCCTCCTCCGCCTGCCACACTCAATCAGGGACGACTTGGAGAATTGAGGAGGTTGAGGGAACGCTCATAATCATGCTTATTTGCATAAGGGTTACAGTGAGACAGACTATCACTGACCAACAAGAAAGGAGTGCTGCAGAGGGATTCAGCTAAGAGAAAAACACTGCTAGTTATTGCACACTCCATTTGAAGAAATCCCAGGCAGGCAAGTTTCTTTTTGTCTTTTCCCTCCAAATTGATGCCAGCCAGCAAAGGAGGTTTCAGTTAAGACACATCAACAAATGTCAGCCTAACCGTGATGAAGACACTGGAACACCATCCAGGCTTTTGTTCAACAGTCTTGTGACCTGAAGATTTACATACAGCTTCAAAAAAGCCAAACACGAAGATCCACCCACATATAGCCTGGCTCTTCATCTGAAGCGTATCAACATCTTTACAGCTGAGGGGTTTCAAACCCAGGGATCACTCATGTAGATGTGTGACATCTGTGGGTGCGAGCGCCGGAGTGAGGGAGGGACGGACCCGGGCTTTTTGTTTCTCTCTGATCAGTTTCACTCGCCTCAGCTCGCAATTGTGAAACTGACAATGAAAACAACCGTTCTGGGAATTTCATTATGGCCGTTTCAGTTATGTAGCTCACGTGTCGTCGCTGCGTTTGGGCTGCCCCATATTTATATTTTGTTACCAAGGCCCATGACATCACTGACCTCAAATTATTAAATTAGTAAGAAAAAGTTCAACTCAACAGTCAACTGTTAGGATAACGTAGTGCATAAGTTGTCCTTTCTCAACCAAGTAATCAATATCTTCATCAGCTATCCTGTTTTCTTAATGATTAAATAATTGCTTCAGTGAGGAAAAAAAGCCAAACCTGATCTGTGTCTGGCTTCTAAAATGTGAGGATTTGCTTCTTTTCTTTGTCATATGATAGCAGACTTAATGTCTTTGTATTTGGGTTGTTGGTCAAACAAAAAGAGCAAATTGAATATGATTATTCAGAAAATGAATTAGCAACTATTCTGATAGGCTATTGTTTGTCATTATTTTAGCTTCACAATCGTGAGGATTTCCTGCTTTTCCTTTATCATATATGATAGTTAACACAATATATTTGTTTTGAATTGTTGGTTGAATAAAAACAGCTGTTTGAAGTAGAGCTGAAACAATTAGTTGACAGAAGATGTATATATTATGTATAAATTAATAATTATTTAGTCTTTTGATTATTGTTATTTCATTTAAGCAAAAAGGGCAAACATTTTGAGGTTTCTGCTTCTTAACTGTGAGGATTTTCAATCATAAACTGGATATCTTTGGGTGTGGAGTTGCTGGTCGAACAAATCAAGTAAGCTTAAGATGTTACCATGGGTTTTTTTGTAATTGGCACTGAAACAATCAATACTGAAAATGATCATTAGTTGAAGCCCTGATTTAAA